GGGACAATTCAGGGGGATTTGGGGACACTGGGGGGGTGGCAACACTGGAAATGTCCCTTTTTGCCCCATTTTTGTCCCTTTTTGTCCCTTTTTGCCCCCTCCCCCCTCAGGGCCACCGCAGCTTTTGCCAAAATCTTTTATTGCCGCCCCTCCCCCACCCCAAAAAAACCCCAAAAAAACCCAAAAAACACCAAATAAATATCCAAGAAAACGCCGTGAAAAAGGGGATTTCAAAAGGAATTTTGGGGGATTTTTAGGGGATTTTGGGGAGTTTTCGGCTGTACAAAATTTACAAAGGGGGGAAAAAAATCCCAAAAATTGGGGGGAAAAAAATCCCAAAAATTGGGGGAAAAAATCCCAAAAATTGGGGGAAAAAATCCCAAAAATTGGGGAAAAAATCCCCAAAACTGGGGGGAAAAATCCCAAAAATTTGGGAGGGGAAATACCAAAATTTGGCGAAAAATCCCAAAATTTGTGGGGGAAATCCCAAAAAGGGGAGGGGGGGGTGGGGGGGGAGAATATCTAAAATTTGGGATTAATCCAGGGGGTGAAATCCCAAAATTTTGGATTTTTCTGGGGAAAAAAATCCTAAAAATTAGGGGGGAAATATAAAAAATTTGGGATTTACGTGGGGGGGAACATCCCAAAAATCTGGGGGGAAAGAATCTTAAAAATTGGAAAAAAATCCTAAAAAAAATTGGGGAGAAAATGCCAAAATTTGGGATTGACTTGGGGGGGGGAAACCCAAAAAATCTGAGGGAAAAAAATCCTAAAAATTGGGAGAAAATCACAAAATTTGTGAGGAAAAACCCCAAAATTGGGATTTACTTGGATGGGAATATCCTAAAAATTGGGAAAAATTCCCTAAAATTTGGGATTTATCCAGAAAGAAAAAAATCCCCAAAATTTGGGATTTATCTGGTGGGAGAAAATACAAAAAATTGGAAGGAAAAATCCCAAAATTTTGGGGAAAATTCTTAAAATTTGGGATTTAGATGGGAGAAAAAATTCTAAAAATTTTGGGGAAAATCGCCCAAATTTGGGATTTATCTGGAGGAAAAAAACTCTAAAAATTTTGGGGAAAATCCCCCAAATTTGGGATTTATCTGGGAGAAAAAATTCTAAAAATTTTGGGGAAAATCGCCCAAATTTGGGATTTATCTGGAGGAAAAAAACTCTAAAAATTTTGGGGAAAATCCCCCAAATTTGGGATTTATCTGGGGGAAAAAAATTCTAAAAATTTTGGGGAAAATCCCCCAAATTTGGGATTTATCTGGGGGAAAAAAATTCTAAAAATTTTGGGGAAAAATCCCTAAAATTTAGGATTTACCTGGAGGAAAAAAAGTCTAAAGATTTTTGGGAAAATCCCTAAAATTTAGGATTTACCTGGAGGAAAAAAAATCCCCAAATTTGGGATTTATCTGGTGGGAGAAAATACAAAAAAATTGGAAGGAAAAATCCCAAGATTTTGGGGAAAATTCTTAAAATTTGGGATTTTCCCAAAATTTTGGGGAAAATTCTTAAAATTTGGGATTTTTCTGGGGGAAAAAATTTCTAAAAATTTTGGGGAAAATCCTTAAAATTTGGGATTTATCTGGGGGAAAAAAATCTAAAAATTTTGGGGAAAATCCTTAAAATTTGGGATTTATCTGGGGGAAAAAAATCTAAAAATTTTGGGGAAAATCCTTAAAATTTGGGATTTATCTGGGGGAAAAAATTTCTAAAAATTTTGGGGAAAATCATTAAAATTTGGGATTTATCTGGGAGAAAAAATTCTAAAAATTTTGGGGAAAATCCTTAAAATTTGGGATTTAGATGGGAGAAAAAATTCTAAAAATTTTGGGGAAAATCCCCCAAATTTGGGATTTATCTGGGGGAAAAAATTCTAAAAATTTTGGGGAAAATCCCCCAAATTTGGGATTTATCTGGGGGAAAAAAATCTAAAAATTTTGGGGAAAATCCCCCAAATTTGGGATTTATCCGATGGAGAAAAAGATGAAAAAAATTGGGGAAAAATCCTAAAAATTGGGGAAAAAAAAAAAAAAAAATCCCTAAAATTTGGGATTTACCCGGAGGGAAAAAAAATCCCCCAAATTTGTCCCAAATTTGAGGGGTGGGGGAGGGGACGGAGCCCTTCTGGGCAGGGACAGGTGACAACGGCAGGTGCCACCTCAGGTGTGTCACCTGCTCTGGGGGAGGTGACCGAGGTCACGGGATGCCACCAGGTGCCACCAGCACCTCGGTGCCACCTCCTGTCCTGTGCCCAGGTGTGCCCAGGTGTGCCCAGGTGTGCCCAGGTGTGCCCAGGTGTGACCCCAGTCTGGGGGAGGTGACAGAGGCCACCACAGCCACCAGGTGTGACCCCGGCCTGGGGGAGGTGACAGAGGCCACCACAGGTGCCACCAGGTGTCACCAACTCACGGAGGAACAAACGACACCACCTCCTGTCCTGTGCTGGCGCTGTGCCCAGGTGCCACCAGGTGTGCCCAGGTGTGCCCAGGTGCCACCAGGTGTGCCCAGGTGCCACCTCAGATGTGCCACAGCTGGTCCCTGGGCAGGGGAGGTGACAAGTGCCACCAGGTGCCACCAACACATGGAGAAAAAAGTAACACCACCACCTGTCCTGTCCCCTTGCTGTCTGCAGGTGTGCCCAGGTGCCACCAGGTGTGGCCAGGTGTCACCCAGGTGCCACCAACACACGGAGAAACAAGTGACACCACCACCTGTCCTGTCCCCTTGCTGTCTGCAGGTGTGCCCAGGTGTCACCCAGGTGCCACCAGGTGTGACCCCAGTCTGGGAGAGGTGACAGGTGCCACCACAGGTGCCACCAACACACAGAGAAAAAAGTGATACCACCACCTGTCCTGTCCTGGCACTGTCCACAGGTGTGTCCAGGTGTGTCCAGGTGTGCCCAGGTGCCGCCTCAGATGTGCCACAGCTGGTCCCTGGGCAGGGCAGGTGACAGGTGCCACCACAGGTGCCACCAACACACAGAGAAAAAAGTGATACCACCACCTGTCCTGTCCTGGCACTGTCCACAGGTGTGTCCAGGTGTGTCCAGGTGTGCCCAGGTGTGCCCAGGTGTCACCCAGTAGCCACCAGGTGCCACCAACACATACAGAAACAAGTGACACCACCACCTGTCCTGTCCCGTTGCTGTCCCCAGGTGTGTCCAGGTGTGCCCAGGTGTGCCCAGCTGTGCCGGGCTCAGACGAACACCTTGGCCAGGGCGTCGGCGCCGGCGCTGGCGCTGAGGGCGCGCCGGGGGTGGAAGGCCACGGCCAGCACGGCCTCGGAGTGCTTGCGGCGGTGAGCGGGCAGCTCCTGCACACAGGTGCGCTGCAG